CCACAAACTTACTTTGTCATATCTGCACAAAACCCAGATCAGCCAGTCATATTTTAGCTTATTACACAATACATATTCAGCAACTGTTTGCTAAATCCCACCTCCACAACAAAGCTGATACATAGCCCTATAAATATTGGGAAATGTTAGTCACTTGTTGGTTTCTTGAAACAAATATTTCCATTTTAGTTCATTAATAGATGACATTTTTCCAGGGCCTAAACTGGAAACATCATTAGAAATGAACAAAGAATGCCCATTTAACATACAACCATTTAGCATGTTTTTCTACTGTTTCTATAAAGGTTAGGTTCTTGAACAAAGAGTCGAAGGAAGTATTACATAACACTGCATGGAAATAATAGAAATGTTTGCTTTGCTAGAGTTTTGCCGTTAGTTCTGTGGTAAAAGCGAGAGCAAGTTAGAAAAACAATCATGTTTTTATTGTGAATAGAAATTTGAGAAGTCTTACTTTGCTTTCCATTTTATTTTGCTATCTCCAAAGGCATCTACTCCCAGCTCCAAGCTGTTATAAAATGGTTGCTGACCCTTATCTTCCCAAAATACAGGTAGTCCTTGACTTATGACTATAATATAAATAGTGCTCAACTTGCATACAACTTACAAGCCTGCTCATTATGGGTATGTCATGGAGATCATAAAGTGGATCACTCATGTGATAAGACATACATGCAGGCCAGTTGCCAAGTGCCTGACATTGATCAGGTAATGAGAGGCAACTGCCGGAACTGGGTCATAAGTACCTTTGAGGGAAGAATCTGTCATAACTTTAAATGGTCGCTAAGCGACTCGTCATGTACACATTTAGACATGGTGGTAAATTTGAACTCTGCAATGCATCTCAACTTTGAATTCTGGGAACTGAAGTCCACCCTCTTAAAGTTGCTAAGGTTGAGAAACACTGTTCTGCTCAATCACTCATGTTTGATCTCTCCAGCTCTCACAGATGTTCTTATCTTTTGGTTTACTCTTACATGCAAAGAGTATGTAAGAGTAAACCTATTTTGCTTGCATTTTTTTAAAAAATCTGAAATTTTGACTGCTCTATACACTTTAGACTGAGTTTATCCATTATGCTGAATTATGTATTTCAAGGACACTATAACTCATCTAGCAACATGGGCAAACTATAATATGTGTGCAGAAATAATTCTTATTCCAGTGGAATTCAATTCATTTATGCACATGTAATAGCTCTATGCATGGGAAAGTTACATACAGTTGTAACATCCACTCAAATGAACCAGGAATGTTGCTACACTGGAGTATATAGGAATACTATTTGGCCTCCACTGAACTACAACTCCCAGCATCCTTGACAACTGACTATGCCAATGTCATCCAGAGGATGACTAATTTCTCACCATTATTTTACTGAATTTTTACATTGCACTGGAAAGATTTCAGAAATGTGATACCCTCCACTCTGACTAAGGTTAAACATTCTCATGTTTTCCATAGCTTCTCTCCACAACTGTTAATAAATGTTTATGTTTGCAAAGTAACTGGTAAAACCTGATAAATTCAAGCCAATGAATTTGTCTCTACAATAAAAGCATAAATAAGATTTAAAGGACATATTTATCTAAAATGTTGCTAGAATAGCTTGAATGGGGTTACTGTCAATGATCTCTCTGCTACACAATTTCTGACTAAAGCAAAGTATGTTTTTAAACATGAAATACAAGAGTCTAATGGAAATATTCTTCTCCCACACTCTCTCCATGAAAAATGTAAACAAAAATTACAAGTGTTTTGCTTAAACCGGGTATCTATACTACTTGAGCTATTAAGATGTGGAATATGCAGTGAAAGAGCTAGTTGTTGGTTTTTTTCCCCATTTCTTTGAAAACCTTGTCTCCTGCACAGTGCAATAATGAAAGGTTGGTGTTTTTTATGTCTCCTTATTTTCCCCACCCTTTGTTGAATAGTAGCTTTAAAAAATACATACCACTAGTCTGATTTCAAGTCATGACTCTAAATACTTTAAATAATTGTAAAAACTTTTTTTACAATACAAAACTGTGAATTCACCACTATTACACATGATTTTTTAAAAATCAGTAATAATTTCTTCAGGCTTTTTATGAAATGTTACCCGTACACACAAAAGAATACACTCAATTACTGTTACATTTTACCAGTAAATAAGACAAGTGTGACCATTAACCTGCACTCTATCATAAATCCATGTATCAAAAAAAAACAAAACCCAAGAAGGTTTGATATTCCAAAGCTAATGTACTTGAACAGGTATTATTTCTCTACAACACTACAGGAACAGAGAACACGTAACAATTCAAAATTTCAACTTAGTAGGTGATGCTCTCGTTTCAGTGGTGTTTAAACAATTATAGACTGGGAAATCAATCATAGT